CCAGGTGGATATTTATAAAAGAGTTGAAGTTTGAGGGGGTTAACTTCTTGTACTTTGGTCAGTGCCAGAATTTATATTATGCATTTGCTGTGTGAATGTTTATGGAGACAGCTTTTTGTAAGATTTTTACTCTTTTGATATGTGGTTCAGTAAGTGAGTTAGAAATATTTAGTTAGAGTGATGGTTACCAAAGTCTGTTAGTGATGTTACTGATGAAAGGTAGAATGATTAATTTTTTTTTCTTTGTCTATTAATACTTGTTTTGTGCATGAGATGTGTTCCTGCTTATCAACTATCATTATTTTTATAGTAATAGGAATATGAAGCTTCTGATGTACTTCCATAAACTAGTATAGACATTTACACCTCTTCAACTATTTTCTAATTGAAGGAAGAGATAGTGTATGTCTCGGAAATGGTTGTTTGATTAAGTTGACTTGAATTTTTCATATTTACTAAAAAATTAATGAAAGCTATGCTGCGTAAAACATCAGTTTTAGGTTATTTGAATGAGTGAAAACAATTTTGTTTGGAAGGTCTTCATTTAGAATCTTACCATTAGGCTTGAAAATAAACAAACCTCTTAAAGTGTTACAGAAATACTTTATTTAAGCTGGAGTCCAATCTAGTGAGAAAAACGTTAAAGTAATTGGTTGATCACTCAAAACTAGTTCAAGCTCAAATCAAATTGTTATCACGAGTTCGTGGCTAAAAGTACTTGAATTTTTTTATAATGGTAATAAGAAATGAAGTATTAAAAACAATTACAGTAATTTTAAGGTGATAAAGTCTTCTTCCTAGTAAAAAAAATGTTCTTTATGTTTTAGGAACCAAGGACACTTTCCTCGTAGTCATACACAGCGTCAACATTTTGATCAACGTTACCCACCCTCACTTGATCAATATGGTGATGAGCGAGAAGCAGCATCAGCTGGACCAGGGAGGTTATCTTGGAGGTCGACAATAACGTCTTCGTCCATCAGCTCAACTGTTGACTCTCCACCCCATTCTCGGAGTGGCAGCCGGCAACGGCGAAAGGGAACGTCAAGGCGGTCCTCTCACTCCCGCTCGGGTTCCCGGTCAAATTCTAGGTCTCAGTCTCGATCACGGTCAAGTTCTCATAGCAGTAGTGATAGTCGATCATCTAGTTCATCATCAAAACATCGAAGCAGCTCCACTGACAGCAGTAGTAGGTCGCCATCACCGTCCAAGTCTCAGTCACCAGCGTAAGTTTGTAATTTAAAAAAAAAAGCTTTTGATGAAGTTTATGTACATTAATATTAACTTCTGATCACAGCAAGATACCAATTTAGAGTGATATAAAATCAAACTGGTGATGAGTATAGCTAATTAGATGTACTATACTTACATTCTTACTTGTAAAGATCAGAATGTTGTTTCATCAGTTGGGTGTTCTTGCTGTCAAACATATACTAAAGAGGTAAAGCAAAGAAATAGAAAGTTGAAAATTTATCTAAAATGTCCTTTGAGTAGCTTTATTGAAAGTGTACTCATTATGCACAGGACCTCCTATGGGAGCCAAGGAAGTGGGAAAACAGGACGTTCAGATTGGCCAACCAATGTAGTCACCACAGTGTCATCATTGTTTTTACCACCTTCTGTTACAACTTTAAATGCTAACAGCTTATCTGTGGGAAATCAGTGCTCAAATCAATCACAAAATTGTTCATCCAGTCCCATAAACAACCACAGTGACAAAGAGGAAAGGAGACCACTGGGCATTTGTGTTCAAAATCTTCCAGCACGGTCCACAGGTAGCTTTTAAATAAATTGCTTTTTAACAAAGTTTAGTCTAAGGTATTTATTGATTCCTGAAGTATTGGGTGAAGAATGTCCTCACTTCTGTTGTTTCCTAATTAAATTTACCAATAATTATATAAATTTTATGTAAGCAAAAAAAGTTATTGTTGTAGAACATGTTTAAAAATACCTGATTTTGTTGGAACATCCTGTAAAATATAACTTAACATCAAACAGTTTAACTTTTAGGTGGAAGTATCTCTTTATGATAAAGTAAACTAAATTTTATGAATGTTTATATTGGGCATCATTTAAAGATTTAGAAAAAAATTGTTCATCTCCTTTCTTTCTTTTTTAAAATTGCATACAAAACAGTATTGATTTAATTAATCTATCATATAAATCAAGTGAGTATTTTGTTGCAGTATTTATTTCACAACTTCATAGGCAACGTTTGTAAATGAAGTTTATAAAGTCAAAATATGTATGTTTTAATGGAAAGTTCCCTGCTTGGTTTAATGTGACTTTTCAGTGCAGTTACATGAATTTTTTTCCAAACCTTATGAAGATTCTCATTAGTGAATCAAAATGTCATTTTCACTATTTTAACAGTTTTGATAATATTCCACTTGCTAATTACAGTATAGCAAAAGTTTCACGTTTTGTTATTTTAATTGCAGCGTGCTGTAGGTTGTCATTGTCAAGAATATGTTTTGTGAAACAAATAATTTATCAAATATCAGAAAACAATTAAATAAAAGGGTATCAATAGCAATATTTGCATGATTTTGAGATATCCTAGTACATATAATCTAACCTTAATAGTATTGTTTAAATTTTTTGTTTCATTGATAGTGTGTGTTGGGAAAGAGTTAGACTAAATCAGCTTAGCATTGGTATTGAAAAGTTAATATAATGTTCTTCTGTAGGAAAAGAATATGTTTATTGTTACATATAGTAACATAGTGGTAACTTGGAATTTTTAGACACAAGTCTGAAAGATGGATTATTCCATGAATACAAGAAGCATGGAAAAGTCACCATGGTAAAAGTGATTGGTCAGGGTACAGACAGATATGCAGTAGTTTGTTTTAAAAAGTAGGTGATTTTGTTTTTCTTCTTTTACTAGATGTTTAAAAATTTCACTTATCTGTGAGTTACAAATTGCAAAAGGAGTGGTAATATACTAAGTAATATACAAAAGCACAAGATTCTGTATTATGAAATTTTGTAAAGGTTGTTGACATAACCACAAGATCCTATGTTGTAAATAATTATTGTAGCTATTGACTTAACTATAAGTACTTTAAAAATGAGTGTATAGTAAGTCTGAACTTTTAATATAACAACCTTTTGTAGTTTAAACCTGACTAGTTTATTGAAGCACCAGCATAATGTTTTTAAGACTGAAAGTAAACCATTGCTCTTCAACCATTTCAGGGCAGATGATGTTGAAAAAGCTTTAGAAGTTTCTAAAGACAAGTTGTTTTTTGGCTGCAAGATTGAAGTCAAAGCACATGAAGGGCTAGATGGTGAAGATAATGAGTTTAGGCCTTTTGAGGCTGACCTTGATGAATTTCATCCTAAGGCAACAAGGACATTATTCATTGGCAACCTAGAAAAAGACATTACTCATCTGGACCTCAGGAAACATTTTGAACAGTTTGGAGAAATTATCGTAAGTTTTTCTTTAGAACAGTTTTTTATTTAAATCTTAAAAAAAAGATTTTGTTTGTTCAAAAAGAAAAAACATATATAGAATTGCTCAAACTTACCAGTGAATACTTATTAAACCTAATCTGAAAATATAACAATAGACTGACTGTAAAATTCCTGAAAAAATTTTTTTTCAACTACCAAAATTGAAGCAAGCATTTTACAAAGTAGCAAAGGATTAGATTACAGCACATGTACTGATTAAATATCCTTACTGATTTCTTGCATTGTAATAAGATGAAAACCAATGAGCTGGTGCGTAACAAAGTTTTCTTATTTTTAAGTTGTCATATAGTAAGATGTGTTTCATATATGAAAACTATGAATTAAGGTATTCCAACATTTTTAGAACCATTTATGTAATAATTGTGTTGAGTAAATAAATGTATTTTTCTATGTATAGGGCATTATCTTCAGGTTTTTGTTTTAAGTTTTCATTCTTCTACCATAAAAAGCTCATGTTATTTATGAAACTACTTCTAGTTAATTTAATATGTATTGTACTTTTGCTTTTATTTTATATTCAAACAATAAGAAGAAATTAAAAAAATAATATATATGTATCATAGGGCTTGAATTTGATATTTTTAGGTTGGGAGGTCCAAGATTGATAAGTTTTGTTTCCAAGTCTGTATTCAGAAGAGCCGTAAAGAAACTTGACATCCCCTCCCCAATTGCAAAATAATGCAATTCAAGCCCAGTGTATATAAGTAGCTAAATAACAAAGAAGTTATAAGATTTGACTGTATTTTATTTTCAGGAGATAGACATCAAGAAACAAGGAGCTACCAGTACATCCTTGTATGCTTTCATTCAGTTCACAAATATTGCTAGTGTGGTGAAAGCCATGAGGAAACTGGATGGTGAAACTCTTTTTGGGGCCAATAGGATAAAATTGGGATTTGGTAAAAGTATGCCCACATGCTGTGTATGGATAGATGGAGTTGTGGATTCTGTGTCAGAAAAGTTTCTCAAACGCCATTTTGGACGTTATGGACCAGTAAGAAATACTGTGATAGATAGAGAAAAGGGCCAAGCCCTAGTGTTTTATGACTCAATAGATTTAGCACAAAATGCAGTTGCAGAAATGAGAGGAAGAATGCTCGGAAGTAAAAGGTTGCAGGTTAGTTGAAAAGTAATTTTATAATTCATTTTTCAGGTCTTGTTAATTTAATATACTGTATGATACACATTTTCACCATATTATTTTTTCAATATAAACTTATTACACACCTTAAGTGATTTCTTTGAAAGTAATGCATTTCTTGTGTATACTAAGCATCATATTGAGTTATACAGTTCTGTTGTTATTTCTTGTAACCTAGCCAAAACATTTTATAATTAGTTTTTGTTTTTGTATTTAATTCTACTTCATCAGTAACATGTAACGTTCCAGTATGAACATCTTCTATTTTAAATCAGTCAAGCAATTCACTCTGTCATAATCATAACATTTAGTTTTTCATGTGTATTGATTGTAGTTTTGCATCACAACTTTTTTGTAATTGAGTATATAATAATGGAAGATTTGAACTTGTGCTGAGGTCCCTCTACAAATATGTAAATATTACCTTGCATGAGTTAATATGTTGTCCTAAGGTGTGTTACGAAGACCATCCTCTCATTTTCCCCTTTGTGATGTTGCTGGAAACAAATGAACATTGTTATTTGTACAATAACTTATGTATATAAGTTTGATCTTGTATTTTTAAAGGTAAAATTGGATTAAAATTATTTTACTTGCTAAAGATATAGGGTTTGATAAGTAGCCTAAACTTGCTTGTTGGTAAACAAAATCTACATTCTTGTGACTATTGTATTTTTGTAAAAATAAATTAGATGTAATACAGCAAAAAAACTAACATACAACTGAGATAATTTGTATAAAAAGGTTACACTTAAAAAGTGTTAAAAAGTAATATTGTTTGTAATAATTTATCAAAACACCAGTATATTTCCCTCGAAATATTGTTCTTTAAATTATTTTTATGTGTGTGTATTTAATACAGTAACCTGATATTGAAGTTAAAGGTTACTTTTTATGAGATTTTACTGCTTCCAAAAGGATATTAAGTGTGTGTGCACGGAATCAGTCCATTAGGCCAACTTCATATTGCAGAAGGAATGTTGACCATAATTCTGAATTTACTGCATGTATCTACATGAAATATAGCAAACTTTTACTAAAATGTAAAATTCTGTTAGTAAAATATAAAAGTCTGTTGTACACAAAATACTCGAATGTTACAAAAGTAAGACTATTGTACACAAAAACTCGAATGTTACAAAAGTATTTGTAATCAAGATATGTCTGTGAATTGATGATGTCAGTCTGACTCAGACTGACAAGTTGGAGTGCAAGGTGATGTTCATGTGAAGAACAAAAATACTTTTGTCCATCATACAATTTTCATATTGCATCTACATAACTCATAGAATCTCTGAAATGCATATCTACAGTTCATTCAGTATCCATGTTTATTGTATCTGGTATTTACTCTCCTCTGCTGCAGACTGTCAATAAATCAATATCGTATGGTAAAATGAATGGTTGATAACTTTGACATCAAGTACATAATATCATGTTAAATAGCACTCTGTAAAAAGTCATGGCATGTACACTTTGACCCCACCTATGCACATAGGGTTAAATCATTTTTTCAAAAAGTTGTGTGTTGCAGATAAAATAGTGTTCTGTCTAATAAAATAATTATTTTATACATGGCTTTAAGTTTGCCTGTATCTAATTTTCCAGATATTTTGTAGGGATTAGTGAAAGTGTATCATTTCTGGGATTGATATTCTTAGTAAGTTAGTTGAAGTTTTGAGCTAGACTGCTATAAATGATGAGGTGATGATATTTCTCATGCAGCTCTGTATTATTTTTATAATTTGCAAACAAAACATTAACCTTCTCTTGTCCCATGGTGTCCATAACATCACTGAGGAGTGTAGTCATACACTCAGTTTTTAGTTACATATTCTGTTTTTGATTCAATGCTCTTGAGAAAAATTGGTTCAGAAGTTGCAAGCACCAAAATGAGTAAAGGGTTTTCTATCTCCCCAGTCCATTCACCCAAAATAAGTGTTAGTGAATCTGGTTTAGTTATCTTCTTAACAAGATTTTGCACCATTTTGTAATCCTCATCATGGAAAGAATTGTAGAGATGAAATAATGAAGGATATACAGAAGCAGCTTTCTTTTGAAAACTTGTGTTCAGTGAAACTAAAGTGTTGTGTAACTTGAATGCATAGAAGCTTGCATTGAATCTTGCAGTAAGAGAAGTCTGGTGGCTGTCTGGGAGTCCTGTGTCTGTGACACAAAAACTGTTTCAGGTTATTGGGTTGAAAAAGAGTGCTGATCCTTTACATTTTTCTGTCTTTAAAAACTAGATTTTGATACCCATGGAAAGTACAACATAGATAGCCTATTGTGTAGCTTTGTGCTTAACAACAAAGAAACAAACATCTTTCTGCAATGAAGAAAAGGAAAAAAAAAACTAGTTATATCTAGTTAAATTTTGTACAGCACTTACAAATAGAGGTACATGTAATAATGCAGTATTTATACATCAACAACGAGAAATCATTTGATACAAATACCAATGAGAAAAGATTGTAAGATAATGTACAAGTAGATGTTAATGTCAGATAAAACTGGAGGATGGAGGCCTATGTGTTAATACAGGAGAATATTATTAGACAAAATATAATTTTAAATGTTCTCTTATTTAATGCAATGGCTGAAAAATAATGTTGGGGTGAATTATTAGGTAGACCATTTAAATATACATTCACATTCCATATTTGTTTTAAATTAGTCCATCCACATACACAGGAAACATAGTTCTCTATTCTTAAAATTCTAGATTAATGAGCACCATGCTAGACACTTGATTAATGCTCAAATTTTGCTCAAATTAATTTATAGGATTAGTTGATATAGTCAAAATAAAGTTTTGAATGGCTCGCATTATTTCTATATTTAAGGTGAAAAAAGCATTGAAAACTTTGTTTTCATGCTGTCTGTATAGGGACAACATAATGTTGTACCCCTAATTTCGTTAAAATCAGCCAAAGGGTTTTTTTGTAATTTTATAAACTCGCTCAGAGGGCTAAAACTTTTCAAATATTAATTGGCATTATGGGACTCCTTTTCTATTGTGTAATGTTGATTTGTTCTGTTTTTCCTTCAGAATGTATACATTCACAAGGAGTCTCTATAAACCTCTTCATTATTTAAAGTTAGATTGTTTGCATACCCAAAATTTAGAATAAACAAAATAAGTCTACAGCCTACTTATGCCATATCTGATGGTACATTTCATACATAAGGCAGTTAATGAAGGGGCTAATTGTGATGACAATCTACTACGTAAATAATCTTATAGATTTATTGAGCCATTTGGAAAACCTTCCTCATTCTAAGAGCATTTTTGCCGTAAGTTTAGGTACAAAAAGTTCAATCACCAGTAACTTTCAAAATGACTTTCTTTTTCTTCTTCTTAAAGTTTTCCACTCTTCAGTAAAATACATTATAATAACCCAGGGTTCTAAAAACATAGACATTTCTTTGAACAAGTAGTTGATCAGTTAATAGATTCATAGACCAACTATGAATTTATATATTGAAAAAAATGTCCAATCTTCTATATAATTTTCTAATCAAACACCATTCTCTTGGAATATATAAATCACTCTTTATAATGGGGATGGCCCACCTGTATTTTAGACCTTTTTAAAACCTCTCGTTTCTTTACCTTTGAAGCTTCCAAAATATATGAGAAACACAAGAAATTATCAAGAGATTTCTGATGAAAAACAGCTACAGATTGTTATAAACTATGCACTGACTTCAGTTAAACACATTTGACTTATCCATAGACCTGTAACAAATGATTGAAAACCGAATCTAAGAACAAGGGATTAGGCTTCAGCCTATGCACTGACTTCAGTTAAACACATTTGACTTATCCATAGACCTGTAACAAATTCTTGAAAACCGAATCTAAGAACAAGGGATTAGTCTTGAATTAAAATATTAAACAAAAAATAGAGTATACCAGACAATTCTATAAAAGTGTAGCTATTAAAAAACAACTGCCACATAAACTATACATCAGTCATAGATTGTTCACACTTTTGACCCTGTTGACTAAGAATAGCAACAAAAAGGAAATGGTAACATGAAACCACAAAAAATATACTTAATGCAATTTACATCCTATAATCAATAATTTTTATCCAAGGAATCTTGAGGAATTTATTTCCTGCAACCTATAAGTTATCAACCTAGTATATGTTAACCACAGTAATTGGAAATTAAAATTGAGCTTTCATAAAATGCTACAAATTATTTATAAAACATTGAAAACTGGAAAAATTTTCATAAAAATGTTTTCCAGGAAAGGCATGCGATGAAATTCATATCTATTTTATAACTTTCTTTGGGTGTGTGTGAGATTATTAAACAAAAAACTTTTTGTTGTCAGTAGTTTAGTTACAATTATTTTATTTTTCAACATCTTGTTAAGATAATGTTATTTGCAGTGTAACAAGTTTCACACTTTCTGACTGTAGCATTTCTAATCTCAAGTCAGTTCCCTGAAAATGTTCTTGTGTTTTCAGAAAAATATATAATTTCATTTATTGTGGCAAATTCTGTATATCTGAGATCAGGTATAAGAATATGTTTTTGTATGGATAAGAAGCTCTATTAAATGACAAAAGTGAGAGTGATACAGTTGTACAATACGAGTTCAGTTCAAAGTATCAGGGTTGTAAATATATACATCCATCCAGATAGTTCTACATGTTCCTGTTCTCCTACTTCTATACAGACCCTTAGTTTTGTTCACATTAAAGTGTCATATTCTCAAATTTAAAAAAAATTATCTCTTTGTCCTTCTACAGGGTTTAAATAAACTGGGTTAAGGCCTTACCTGTGTTACAAATCTGGATTATTGCCAAAAATAATTTCTTGTCAACAACCAAGAATCTGAAAAGATTATTGAAGCAAGATACATTACTAAAGGAAAGTTTTAAGAGTCATAAACATAACTATTTAAATTAAAAATCATGTCTTGGTCATTGAAGTCTAAGTTTACCCATGCAAGCATGTGACTAGGGATATCATGAGTGAATGATAATACTTCTAAAGTTTTGTACTTATAAAGAAAGCAGGGTTCGATTAAGTCATGAAAATCCTGGAAAGTCATGGAATTTTATAAACAAATTTTTTAGTATTTGAAATCCTGGAAAATAGTGGTTTTTATCAGGAGGTCCTGGAATAGTCCATGAAAATCTAGTTTCATTGCTCCCACATCCCCAGTTTTTATGACGACAAGCCGTACCATTTTATTTAACTCAGTTTTGTGAAAAACAATGTTTATAATATGTGACTCGTAAAAGAAATAAACACTGACTGGGCAAAACTGATCACTATCAGGCTTTGTACTATAGACCTCTGTCTGCAAATTAACAGATGTCACATGAGTATTGTCCAAATGACACTGTTAGCATAAAGTAAGCTCAAAACTTGTTTGGTGGCAATCAAAAATAATAAAATTTATCATAGGATAAAGAACATGGACATTTCAGAATTTTACTAATTCTATCTTCAGTATATAATTAATAACATTTTTAGCCTAACATCTTCATCAGTTTCTGCCCAAAGAAAGAGAAAAAAGCAAATGCAAATAATATAACAGAATGAATGTCATAATCTTAATTGCAGTGTATGATATATTTAGATTTTTCTATAGATGATGAGGTACCCTGTTATTTATATTGTGATCAATCGAGGCCAGAATATCTTGGTAAGATTTAGGGCCCATTTGTAAATATTTTAGGAATAATCTTCTGTTTTTAAGGAAGGATCAAGATTGTAAATTACTAATATTATTTTGTCTCTTTGTGTTCTTATTAGCTTTTTCTTTCGGGTCTAAAATGAATAAAATTCTTTTCATTTAATGTGGACTTGTTTTATTGTACTAGACAACTTACAGACTTAATATTACATTGAAATATAAAGGTTTTAGAGAACCACAAGGTTTCCAGTACTTTCGAAAGTTCTTTGTTAGGTGGAATTGCAATAGCTGACTGAGAAAATGTTTAAAAACAATGGATTACAATTGTGTGTAAAAACCACAATAAATACAACATTGGTAATATAAGCAAAAATATGAAAGTTGCAGAAAGGAAAAAAACAAACTAGGTATGATGGTAATAAAATCCAGAAAAACTTTAATTTGACACAACTTTTCAAGCTTAAACCCTTCTTCAGGTGATGACGTGCACTTTTCTTGAGAGTTTGGAGAGAAAAATGGCATCTCTTTAATTATATTTAATTTGTAATTTTTTTTACTTCTAAGTTCTTTTGTCTTGAGCTGCATGTACTTGTATTATTTTATATTTGTGTAGCATAAGAATTTCTGAAAGCAAAAATAATGCACATGACTTTTTTTCAGAATATGTAGTGCATACTGGAGGGATTTAGACATTTTGATAAATAAATAAATAATAAAAATATTTTTTACTTTAGCTGAGAATTTTTTTTATTATCTTGAGAGTATGTCATTTTTTAACTTTATCACCAAAATGCATATGACAAGTTTCTGTTACTTTGTTAGTTTTCAATTGAATTTTGCTCTTGTTTGCTGAATTTTATATTAAATTGTCCAAAATATTTTTTCCCAGTTTATTTAGTTCATGAGAGTTACCAGCAGTTTTTGTTACAGCTGTTTTTCTAGAAACTTTTTTATATTTCCCTTTGTTAATTAAATGTAAAGTAGTTGTATAATGCTGAAATGTTGTGATTATAGAAAAGGCATTAACAACAAACAAAGTGAACATGATTCCTAAAAATGACATAGAAAAGTTGATTTAAGTATATAATTTTTACATGCATGTTTTTAGTTAATTTAACAGGGAAAATTTGCCTATGTATCATTATAATACCATCAAATATATGTAACAGAAAAATAAGAAACCCTATAACCCAAGAAGTTCAAAAGGTCTCTTTTTTTTGAAAGCACTTTGGTTATGGGGTTTCAAATTTTTGTCTTTAATAGATGTTCTTTTTTTTTCAACCCTTGTATTATCGTAACATCATATTCACACAGACTTGGAGCCAAATCTGTTTTGCTCAGAGAAACATTTAATAAAATGAAAGTTTTTAATTTTTATAAACATAGTATTATTAATAATTTAAACTAAATACATAACAGTATAAACACCAATTTTGTATCTTTAAGGATACTCTTTAAATTATACTTCCTGTGTGTATTAAACTATATGTGATTTAATATACTTTTAAGGTATTTAAAATGTAAAAAACTTAAAGAAAAAAATTAGAGGAAAATTTTCTCATTATTATGTTAATTTTGTAAAAAAGTGTGTTGTGGAAATTGTTTAGTATCGTTGAAGACACAAAATTGGTATTTCTATTGTTGTATATTTATTTATCTTAAGTTAATAATAATGAAACATTTATTAAAAAGTAAAAACTTTCATTTTGTTTTATATATGCTGTTCTTTTGAAACAGTAAGAAATACGAAACTGAAAAGTAAGCAGAATAAAATTATTTCAAATAAGCAAGGTGATAATTGCCCATTGTGATCAAACATTCACTTAATATTGCCAACCCTAAATGAATGTAGCCTTTCACATTTATAAATATATCCAACAAACATTTGAATGAACTTGTATTGACAACATGCACTACATGATTAGGCAAAACATTCTCTAATAGTGTAGTAATATTGCCTAAAGACAAGATGGTATTTTACCTTCTAAAGCTTGTACTTGTTTTTCCTAATACTGAAGTCCTTACTTCCAACCTTACCATAGGTTGTTTATCCAAGTTCTTAATGACTTTAACACCTGAATTACTAGTTTATTTGGTTTTAACATTCCAAGTGAAAGAAGTTCAAGTTTTTGTGTGTTTTTTCTTGACATTTTGGCATTGTTTTGTAGGCTGACCTTATTATTGAGGTACTTAACTTGTAGTAGACTAGTGAGAAAATGCTATATTAATGATATTGGTGGGAAAAGGTTTGTATTTTAGTATAAAAATATTGATTATATAATTTTTTAATGGATTAGTGCATCATAGCAACAGCATTTAACAAGTTACATTGCAAACTAATTTGTTTGGATTGTGTAATGGCCTTCTGAAATAATTATACTTAGTTTTTAGAACATTGCTTTTGTTAATTGTTTCATTCAGTCTATAGACTTACTCGTCTCCATCAAAATGTCTGAAATTAAAGGTGATTAATGTTTATATTTCCAATTATTAAAAAAACTGTTTGTGTGTGATATGCTTAGTAGAAACTAGAGACAAGGGTTCATACTACAGAGAAATAAATTTCACAGTGATTTTTCAACACATTAATAAGTGCAGATGTGAACTTTTAGTATTGTCTAACACTTACACATATTTCATACTTGTCTTTTGAAACTGAAACTATTTACTTTATGTATCGTAATTGTAGGTTTACTTATGCAATTTAGTTTTTTCTTAATTGAAAAGTTCCCATCCTAATCTAAGGAAATTTATATTGCAAATATGAAGTTTGTATAGCCTGTAAAAATGTCAAACACAGAGCTTTATTTCCATAGATTCAATAAAATTAGCAAACAGTTTTAGTATTTCACTGCAGTTGTTCTAACTGTAATCCTATAATTAGTAAATTTTATTTCATAGGTTGATTTTGCTAGTCGTGAGTGCCAAACTGCATTCTGTGAAAAACTAGGACTACCAGGACTGGAGCTTTTACCAACAGATCGCTTATGGGAACGAAGAGACAGGCGGGAATTCGACCCACTTACAGATATACGGTATGTCCTTCAGTGTTTTAATAATCAATGCATTTGTGTGTCTCATCGAAGGAAGTGATACATTGTCTGTTTGTTTAAAAGATGAGATAGTAAGAACAGCAAAATGGGGATCTTAAAATAAGTGTTGGGATAAGTTTTTGGAAAAATAAAGTTATTAGGAAATGCAGTTTAAAAACACATTTTGGTGACTTGAGTTGCCTATCATCAAAGACTATGCAGCACAGTAAAGATATTTACATTTATTATTATGTTTGTGTTATTGAGACCATTATTATATGATGCTATGTGATTCACTGACATCAGGCACATTATACAGTTTAGCATAGTATGGTTGGGTGTATTATAAAAGGATTACATTTGTAATAAATACATATTTTAAAAATAAATACAGTCATAAATGTTTTATTTTTTATTATCAGATAATTGAAACTGGTCATATAAATTACACAGGCCTGCGAATTTAAACTTCATAAAAGATGTTTTGGTTTTAATAACAGATTTTTGATAATTCAGCTATGCAGATTTTGAAAATAATCATTTTTTTCTATCACGTAAGGATTTTATACAAATTGGGAAGTGAAAAACAAACAAACTTATTTACATCAAATTAAAGGCCCGGCATGGCCAGGTGGTTAGGGTGCTCCACTCGTAATTTGCGGGTCACGGGTTTGAATCCCTGTCACACGAAACATGCTCACCCTTTCAGCCGAGGAGGCATTATAATGTGACGGTCAGTCCCACTATTCGTTGGTAAAAGAGTAGCCCAAGAGTTGGCGGTGGGTGGTGATGACTAGCTGCCTTCCCTCTAGTCTTACACTACTAAATTAGGGAAGGCTAGTGCAGATAGCCCTCGTGTAGCTTTGCACGAAATCCATAACAAACAAACAAACATCAAATTATTATTTTGTTTACTACAATGAACATTTTTTCTTATTATGTTTGCTAACAAAAATACAAACAAACTGAAGAAAAGAAAAGAACATTGATGTCAAACGAATATGCATCTTCATTCATCTTGATTTTTTTTTTTTGTAAAATCTACATCTTTTAGTCGCAAAACTACATTCTGTGGTCTTTCTTTTATGTATTGTGTTTGGAGCATCTCATTTCAATGACCAGCAGTAATCAGCCATCATGCTGATATTCCACCTTCCCTGATACCTCCTCTCCATTTTCCTGATGTCTTGATGAAACCTTTCCAGATGTTTCAGGTTGAAAATAATCCCTATCGTCATTTCTATTGACATCAGAATCAGATGAAACTGTATCAAAAGTCTCAGGTGGAGTAGGTACGGGTACATCAGGTCCATAAGCAACAGGTCTTATAGCAGATTGTAAGTTCGGATAAGAAATTTCCTTTTTATTTTGAGTGTTGAAGCCTTGCATGTTACATGAGCAAAAACAGCAGTCATCTCCATGGTTTCTAAGCTCACACCGACTATTGGAATTCCAAAAGGCAAAGACTTTTTCTTAACCTTAGTCCATTGTCTCAACTCTTCGACAGAAATAATGCAAACTTTGTGCGGAGCCCATGATTTGTCTTGGTTCCCAAGTTTTATATATGCTCAATATGTTTTTTTGATGAATTCTGTAATGTTTTGCCTTTGTTTCTTTACAACAAATTTACCACAAATATAGCGGAATGTTTGGGTCATTTACACAACCTCTTGTTGCCATAATGACGAATAAGTAATATTTTGAAAAGAAAAAAATGTCAAAGTGCACGCACAAATAAATACTATCCAGAAATGACACGTCATGTGGCCTGTTAACCGTTTATATACTAGTGGTGGGTCTCTCGTGGGTTCTAGAATGATCGATAAGACTATCAAGTCGTGATTGATCTAGAAAAATCTATAGCCAGTGGTTGTCAACATTTTAACTATAACAAAATGTGGCCCGATTTCAATGAAAATGATTTTTTGATGAATTCTGTAATGTTTTGCCTTTGTTTCTTTACAACAAATTTACCACAAATATAGCGGAATGTTTGGGTCATTTACACAACCTCTTGTTGCCATAATGACGAATAAGTAATATTGTGAAAAGAAAAAAATGTCAAAGTGCACGCACAAATAAATACTATCCAGAAATGACACGTCATGTGGCCTGTTAACCGTTTATATACTAGTGGTGGGTTTCTCGTGGGTTCTAGAATGATCGATAAGACTATCAAGTCGTGATTGATCTAGGGAAATCTATAGCCAGTGGTTGTCAACATTTTAACTATAACAAAATGTGGCCCGATTTCAATGAAAATGATTCACGTATGTAAAACTACATATGATGTTTTGTGAAAAATCTGTACATGATGGAGAAAAATGGATATAATTTTTGGATTCAGCATACAGGAATTACTGTAGAACATGTAAAAATTTCAAGACAATAAAACCATCGCAGGCCTGTGTTATCAAAGTGAGATATTTTCTCTACGTGTTTTATATTATATTATGCAGTAGTGTGTCATTGAGTATTCAGTTAAGCAGACAATTTTGTATACATAGGGATGGAAGGTCAGGATTTGATAGCAGACCTTATGGTCGCTTTGAGGGTCAACAACGTCCTGGAAGAGGAAATTTTCGTGGTATGCCACATGGAGGATTCAGCAGTCGTGGCAGAGGCCATCCATTCAATATGAGATATGAGAATTATTCTGAAGACATTTTAGATAGGAGGCATCGGTGAGGGTACATTATGCTTGGACTGTTAATTGATATGTGTATAGATATTTGCAAAGCTAAGTAACTCTGATTATGCAAACTAATGATTTTATTTGCTTATAGAGAAAAAAAACGTATTTGATGTAAGGAATACATGAAAAAATATATAAAAGTATAAGTAGTAAGGTAGTCCAGTAATTGTTTTGTTATTAAATCTAGCATTTTAATTTTTTTTTTCTTCAACATTTTACTGCTGACACATTGTTGACTAGGAAACCAGTGGGGGACCGTAGTGTGAGATGAACTGATAAAGCTTTCAATTTGAGTATTAATACTATAATACAAATCACTTTGTTGTTTTTTTTATAGAAGATATAACTCTTAGTTTGGAAACATCTTAAATATTGCAATATTCATGAAAGTTTTGCTGTTTTTTCATTTGGCCTGGAATAAAAATTTCATTAAATCTGAATATTTCAGGAACTTTGATGAGGAATATAGTCAAGGTAGTGGGGCCAGTATAGAAGATTCTTATGAAAAAGAACTGAGAGAGTATGGGTACAGTCAACGAGAAAGGAAGGAGTATGGAAGTGATGAGCAAAGTATTCAAGGTCAAAGCTTCAGCCCTTTACATAGGCGAGACACAAACAGTATTAGCCCATCTAGGGAGAAACACAGAGATAATCGAAGTATCAGCCCCTTGGCCAGGAGTGAAAGGTCATCAACCAGAGGGAGTTCAAGAACAGGAGATGATCACCATTCCAGGTATTTGTGTTTTTTTTTGTAATTGCTGAACATACATCTATATCTCAGTTTTATTTGTTTTGGAAGATAAATATGTGTGAATCATTTTAAGTTTTGTGTATTAGGTGATCTCATTGAAACATTTGTGAAATTTCTTTTAAGTTATTGAAACTTTTTACTGGAGGTTTTCATGATCAAACAAAAATAATTTTGTGATTACCAATTAAGTTTACAAAATACATTGTTTAAAACCTTAATATAAATTTGGTTTTATTCTTTTGTAAAGAAGATGGATTAAGTTTTTTCAATAGCAAAGTCATCTAGTGATTGGCATGGAAACCCTTTCAAGACCTTTGAAGCACTTCTTGTTTTTGTACTTTGGTTTTTAATAAGTTAATATTTTATTTCCATTAACCAATGAATTATTTATAAGGCTCAAGTCAGCTCTTAACAACTGTATATGTGAAATATTAAGCTAATTAAAGTGACCGTACAAGTTTAAGTGATGTTATTATTTCAGTGATGGGAAATTAATGTTACTTAGAAATGGAAATCCAAAATGAGAAATATTATTTTTTGTTATAAGTTGACATTTTAGATTTGAATGTTGATTTTTGTTGTTGTTGTTTATTTAGACATGGTGGAAAGGAAGAAGGTTCTGAAGATGGAGAAAAGAAAGAAGGTAACAAATTCTCAGAGTCTACTGTTAAACAGGAGAAGAAAAAATGTAAGCAGCGAAACAGTGCTAGTGATCTGGAGAGCCACCAGAGCCAATCACCTCCACATTCCAGACAACATAGTAGGAGCAGAAGTCCTCCTTCTAAAGACAAAAAATCTTCAAAAACAAAGGACAGGTTAAATAACCGATTAAAAAGCCCTAACAGTGCAACATGGAACAGTCCCAGTGGAGACAGTGTCTCCAATCAGGAAGGGGTAGGTTTCGTTAGCAAAGAGACTTCTGTTGAACAGAGGCATTTGCAAAAACATAAATTACAGGAAGATAAAGCTGACCTCAAAGATTCTGTTACAACTTCCTTGCCATCTGTGACCACTGCAGAAGTTACTGCTGACTCTGTAAACAAACTGAAAATCAAAACTGAAACAGAACATGTTAGAAAAAGGGTGCATAGTAATGATTTTATAGAAGGACATTCTAAAAGTGATCTTTTAGGCCAGGCAGAAAGAAAACGTAGACTCCTCAGTGCAGGCAGTCTACCTTCAAGCAGGGTCACTGTTGTTACTCAAGTCCAATCAAGAGAAGACTCTAAAAGTAAGACAGTAAATTCGATTGCTACTGATTCTTTTTCTGCAAAGTCTAAAAAAATAGAAACCACCATAACATCTAATAATAGAACCACTCCGAGTGAACATTCAAGCTCTGTTAGTGAACATTTAACTATTAGTCATGTTGAAAAACAGAGTAGTTCTGATAGTGCCAATTTGAAACATGTGAATATACTACAACTTCTGGAACAACTTCAAGATAAGGGAAGTTCTAGTGATACTGAATGTTCTGTGGAAAATAGAAAGCTGTCCAAAGAAGGCAAGTTAAAAACTAACTCAGAAGTAAACATCTCAGATGTTGTAGAATGCAGTAAAATTTCCACAAAGGACTCTTCTTGTAATACTTTAGGACAGAAAATAGTATGCAATGATGATAAAACTATTTTGAGTAAAGTACCAGGTGGATTAAGTTACATAAGAACCAGTGAAAAAAATGGATTACCTGAGACCACTGACACCCAAGTTTCAAGAAAACCTGTGGATCCCCGCAGATGTTCTGAGCACCATAGTGTTTCATCTACCTCCTCACTGAGTGCTCCTCAGCATATGAGAAAACAATCAGTGTATCAGGCAGAACCTTCTTTAGATCATAGCTCCAAGAAGTTTTCAGGACTACTTCCTACAAGTTTTACTTATGTTGAAGGAGAGATTGATTCTAGTAAAGACCCCTCTTCCACTTCTTTTTTCAAGTTTCAGTCAAGACTGAAAGAAGATGAAGTTTCTTCATCCAGTGATAATGCTACACTTCCCAAAATGCTTCGACACTCATTATCAGCATTGCCTGACTTGACCAGAACTTTTTCACCTAGATTACACTCAGTTTCTGATGAAGTGACTTCAGCAGAACATGAGAATAAGAAGGGAATTATCCCCTTATGTCTACCACTGCCAAAGTTTGCTGCTTCTCTTCGGTCCCCCAAAACATCACCAAATCCTCTTACTTCTCCTAAAACTATTGTGTCTAGCCCCAAAAGTGGACATTCTCCATCTCTTGCTTTGACAAGTAAAATGTTACCACCACATATCCTTCGTGAACCACCTAAGTCAGTTCAGCTTGGTAGTCCTGAGCCTATAAAGGAAATTGAGGAGAGACTAAAACCTGACAATGTGAATAGTTCTCTTGCTGTTCTTCAGCAAGTTGTAAATAATGCTGAAAATCTTGTGAAGATAACCATGCCAACTGATATTCATCTTAAGATAGAAAAGAACACAGAGGTTGCCTCAGATTCAGAATGTTCTCCAATATCTTCCCCAGGTTGTATTGAAGAAAGAATTAAAGCTCTTGATGAGAAGTTTACCGCATGGTCAGGGTCAAACACCAGTAGAAATCTAACTGCCACCACTGTAGCATCAACAGAAGCTCCCTTGCAACCAACCATAGACTATCAAAAATATAATATTAAAAAGAGGCCTAAGTTTGATTACATGGCTCCAAAGCCATCTGAAATAATGAAGACTCTCCTTGCAAAATCTACAATTTTTGATCAAGACTTGAAACGACTAGAGCATATAAATGAAAAATATGAACCTAAAGAAATAAACCTTGATCTTTCTCCAAAAGTAAAACCTTTCTTTCGAACCAAGGCTGCAGCAAAAGAGTTCTCAAGCCCAATACAGCCACTTACCAATGTTACTAATGCTATAGGGCAAGGCTCTCTAGCCATGAATAAATTACCAGTATCCAGTTGTATTGGCACCACTACAACATTATCTCCACCTTTAACCCCACCTACAATGGGAAGCACTACCACAATTACGACCACCAATGTCACTCAGAATTTTGTAGTTAACCATGTCACTCATTCAATATCACATCAGACCATTCCTTTTTCACCATTAACACCTGTCTCAGCAAAGATATCCCTGCCATCACCTATTTGTTTTTCAACTGACAGTAACTTGCCACAAACTAAACTCGCTACACAATACCTAAATGTTACAAACTTTCAAAATAGAACTTCAAATCCCCAAAGTCCACCATTTATTAAAAAAGAATCATCCATCAGTCAGTCTACTGCACCCTGTGTGTCAACCATAAAAAAAAGTATGCCATTCATTAGTACTTCACTAACACCCTCGATCTCAGTCACATCTGAATCCACACAGAAAGACCTTTTCCTGCCTCACTGTATTAAAAAGGAATCTCTAGAACCAAAGGATATTTCACTTAAAACAAAAGAGAATTTTATAAAAGACATTCCATCTAAGGAAGAAAACTTGCAAGGATATAAAAATAGAGAACATGGATTACAGAAGGAAAGTATCAAGAAGGAACCATTTTCATTTATTGAAACACATATGTTGAAAAAGGAATCTATTATTTCACCCCAAAATGATTACCTCATTGACCAGAATGATTCGTCTGGTACCATAGAAGATGTAAAAAAAGAGCCATTGCACAACAGGTTTGATATGGAAATAAGTCCAGTAAGTCAAACTGGTAGTAACATTAAGACAGCCTTTTTCCCCAGCAACTGGGAAACAGACTCAACTAGGCATTTACAAGTGACTTCAGAGTGCAAAATTGAAAACAAAGAGACACAAAGTCATCAGTCTGAGACAAAAGACCAGGTTAATGAGCCTGAACCAAAGAGAGTTAAAACTCATCATACATCTAGTTGTAAAGACATTGATAAAGGTGATAATAAATCTTCTTCACCACTTCAAAATGAGTCACGGAAAACAGAGAAAAAAGACAAATCATCCAAGTCATCAGACAAATTTAAATCTTCAGTTGCTAAACCAGAAAATTTTGTTTCTTTGGAGAAAGAGGAAACAAAAGGTAAATCAGATATGGGGAAAATGAAAGATGATAGAAAAAATAAGTTGAAAGATAACAGAGAGATTTCAAAGCATGAAGGCAGAGTTAGAACAAAATCTGGTGACAAGGGATCTGAAAAGAACCATGGCAAGAATTCACAGTTGACTAGTAATAAAGTGAGAAAAGAGCATGTAGAAAGACAAAAAACCAAGTCTGAAAGAAAATCATTTGATCGTGGTGAAAAGAACCAGTCAGGAAAAACTAAGTCAGAAGATGCACCTGTTTATTTCTCCATGTATGACAAAGTTAAAGCTCGTTCAAGTCATAACCAAAGTTTGAAAGACCAGGCATCTTTAGAGTCAGTGAGGAAAAAGTTTAATCAGCTGAAAAAGAGTCGTGCCAAAAAGGGTGATAAATCTAGATCTGCTGATATGGATAGTGATAAGGATTCCGATGAATTTAGTAATTTTTCATCAGATCTAGAGAGCAAACCCAAACCCAGTAGCAAACTGAAGCAAGGTAAAAAAAGAAAACTGGTCATTGAGAGCTCTTCAGATGAAGAATTATCACAGAGTGCATTTCACTTTGAAACGAGCAGAGACACAAAGATTGCTGAAAATAGCAGTGACCTTCTATCAGATTCTGATAAAGATATCCAAGATGTTACCTCTTCAAATGTTATGCCAACATCTGTAAAATCAAAAAAGAAGAAGAAAAAGAAAATTCTTTCTGATGTTGAAGCTTCAAATTCTCAAATTGACATGTCACCACCCCATATGAAAAATAAAAGTAGTAAACCTAAGACTAAACAAGCAAATTCAAAGAGTACGAAATCTAAAGCCATGAAATCTGAATGTGAATCCACAGATGATGAGAAGACAACTAAACCAAAGTCAAAAAAGAAAGATTTTAGAAAGAAAAGGAGCAAAAAGGACAAAATAACTGAAATTAAGTCAGATTCTGATCTTTCAGATAGTGATTTTTCACATTTTATGGTAAAAAGAAAAGAAGAAAATAGAAATATACATATGGAATTAAAGTCAGACTCAGAAAGCTCAGACAAAGAAGTATTCTTTCATCACAATAAAGATAAAAATAAAACGAAAGACAAGATAAAAATCCCAGAATTAAATTTTGATTCAGATTTTTCTGTCAATAATATATCCCATTTATCACAAACACAAGCAAAAGAAAAGGCTAAAAAACAGTACCATGAACTGAAATATGATTCAGGTCTTTCAGAAAGTTCAACTGGGTTATTTTCTAAAGGACAAAAAGACAAAATGAAAGAACAGTTTAAAAATGAAAATGCTGGTGATTGTGAACCTCCACCCTTGATGGCTGTTGAACTAAACTTGGATTCAAAAGAGACCACGAAGGGAGAAAATAATGTTAAAAAAGATAGTAAAATTATAGATGATGATCAAGACAAGAAACAGAAGCCATCACCAAAGAAGAAGAAAAAGTCTCGTAAATCCACCAAAGGTAAAGAGAAGAAATCCAACACAACAAAAGGAACTTGTGAAAAAACTAAAAAGACAGATAATAAAGCAAGAGAAAATACAGATAACTCATCCAAAACTGATAACACTGTTAAACTAAAATATGAAAATTCACTAAGTGAACCTGCAGAATCCCCTCCTCGTTTAATACCAAGCATTTTTTCAGATATTGAACTGAGATCAGATTTTTCAGATTATGACTTTGAAAATCAGCTGTCCAGAAACTTGAGTGAGCAAAAGAGCTGGAACTCAAATGATGTGAAAAACGACTTAGAAAAAGGAATCAAAAATAACTTTCTGGGTAAAAACTTTGGTTCTTCTGCAAAAATGAATGTAGAGGGCAAATCTTTTGAGGAGGAAGACAAAGGTCCCCCTCCTTTACTTGAGAATGTGGACTTTGATCATAGAGAACTTGATGATAGTAATAAAGTTAGTAATACTGTTGAGGGCAACTCAAACAACACAGATCAGACAAATGACAAACTAGTTGAGGAAGAAACAAAAGCTAAGCTAGAAATTCATAAAGAAGTAAATACAAGTGAGGATGGCTCAAAAAAGAAAAAGAATTTGAAAGCAAAACCCAGCATATATGATAAAAATGTTTCATCAAAGGATGAAAAGCGCAAAAAAAAGAACAAAAAGCAGACAAAAGAAAAGAAAAAGAAACAAAAAAATATTGCTTCTAAATTGCAAGAACTCTCACTAACACAGTTAACAGCTTTCCCTAAGTCATCATCTACAGAACATTTTCATCCATTTGATGAAGATAGTAGGTTATCAAAAGACGAAAAGTTAGATGAAGAAATTGTAGAAGAAGCCAGAAGATTGGAAGAAGAATTGCTTGCAGATTCTGAGGAAACCTGTTGTTTTGAGAGTGATGAACTTCCTAAACTGGAAGACAAACATCAAGAACGAAAATTTGAAGAAGAGGCTGCCAAAGAGACCCAGAGGTTGGAACAAGAACTATTTTCTACTGACTCGTGGCACATGAAAGTAAGCAAACCTTTTCAAGATGAATGTCTCCAACCTGATGGTTTAGATGACAATGGTCTTAATGATTCAAAAGTATCTGATGATGAAACTGTAAAAGATGAAGATATTTATGCAGATTTAGACATTAATCCCTCTTCTGTCAGGTATCCCGAACCTACAAGTTTTCTTTTACAATCTGAAGAGCAAGCTGATTTTAAGCTTGAAGAAAAGTCAGGTGTTGCAGAAGAAATGGATAAACAGCAAAAAATGGAAGATGATTTAGCAGTCTCAGCTCTTTTACAAGCTATGAATGGGGATGACCTTCCAGCTCCTGACCTTCAGAAAGAAACAGATTATTTAGACTCACTTCTTCAACCTCACCCAGAAGAACACACTTTTAACTATCTTTTCCAAGACTCCAGTTCAAGTGGACTTGTACAAAATTCAGGATCAGTTTCAGAATCCCAGGAAGAAATCCCAGAGGCAAAAGATGATAATAATTCTCACCTTTTTGAAGAACAAATGCCTACATATTCACAAAACTTGAATGCCTCATATCCTCCTCCAGTTGTGAACACTAGTGCTAAAACCTATCTGGAAAAGTCTCCAAAGATAACGATAGAGGAGGAGGAGGAGGAAAGAACAGGTCTTAAAATTCAATCAGTTAGCATGAGTCCTAAAAAAAGTGAATTAGATGCAGAAAATAGTACAGTTGAAACAAAAGAAAAAAATGAGCTTCTGTTGCTTGAGAGTTCTCTTTCAGAAAATAACCACTCAGATCATGTAAATATACAAGTCCCTCAACAATCTCCTGAATCATTATTTGAAACAGTGGAGAGCTCTTTTCCAAAATCCAACTCAACTGAAAAAGATTCAAAACTCAGTCCTCAGCCATGTGTTACTGAAGATCATGATACAAATTTGGACACACAAAAAGCTGATAGATCAGAAGTCAATAAAGCTATAGAAACCTCTAGTCAAGAACCTATGCATCCAAAACCATGGCAGCTCTTAAAAATACCCAGTGTTGACCAATGTGAATCAGAACTGTCAACAAAAGGAGAAAATCTCACAAAAGTGGAGCATAAGAAATCACGCCGTAGAAAGAAAAAGGAAAAATTCCAGTGCAAACAAGTATACACAGATAGTATTGAAGAAATTAAAAGTCCTCAGCTCTCTGATAATCTTATGAAACAAGAGAACAGCATTTTTCATTTAGATGTGACTAAATTAGAAAATACTTCCCCATCAAATAATGACGTTGAAACTGTTCAGTTATGTAGTAGTGAAAAAAACTATTTGACACAACAAGAGAATGTGACATCTCAGTTTGATGTCACTAAGTCAGAAGAAACTTCCACTGAAGCTGTGCATTTAAACAATAATGAGAAAAATAATATGCTAGAAAACCAAGAAGGGTTTGTTGATGTTACAAACAAAGAGACAACTGCTTCAAATGAAAATGAATCACAAGAAACGAACCTTGCCAAAACCCAGCCTGAAGCTCTACTTGATGAAAAGAAAGGTCATAACAGTACTGAAGAAACTTCTTTTGTGAGTATTACCAATGAAGATGATGCTAATCAGATAGAAAGTTTAAGCTTTGAGAAGGAGAACATTGATTCTGTCAAAGTGACAAAGCCTGAAGTTTCTTTGCCTGAAGACAGTAATGCAGAAAAAGATTACTTACCATCTAGTTCAAGTATCAATATAGATGCCGAAAAAGGAGGAGGAGGATGCCAGTTAGATACTAAAGACAATGAGCATAAGGATCAAGATGTTGAAGAAAAAGCTAATAGAACATTAATCGATAAAAAATGTGAAGACATGACGGAAGAAAATACTAAACTTGATCAAGAACATTTTCTACCAAATATGGCATATTTAAAACCCAAAAAACGACTTGAAAGATCAAGAAGAGGCAGGAGACCCAAGACAAGAAAATATGCAGAATCTTCCTTATTTGTACCAAGGTATGAAGCCAAAGATTTTGAGCATATTCTCCCAGCTATCACAACTAGATCAGGTGGACGTCGTAGAAGATTTTCATCTACTGATAAAAATCGAAGAACTCTTCGTTCAGACACCTTTGAATCATTGATGTCTGCTGAAGACCTAGCACAGTCTTTTGCTGACACTGAAGATTCAGTTGATGATCAAATACCCAAATCAGCTGTAAATAATGTTGCAAAAGTTTCAGCTAACAGGAATGATGACCTGGTATTGAATGCTGATATTAAAAATAAAAGTGAAGAATGTATTTTCAGCACAAAAACCGCCCTCTCTCAAGAATTCAACAAAGAATCTGTTGCTTCAGAAGATAGCCAAATAAATAGTGAAAAGCCATCAAAAGTAGATGTAATGGAAGGAACAGTTGAAAGTATTAAACAGGAAGAGCCCAAAAAAAGGAGGGGTAGAAAGAAAAAAGGTTCTACAGATCATCAACCTTCACCACCTCATCTACCTTTTGCTTGTAATGCACAGAAACCAGACGTGAAAAGTGGGGAGACAGAAAACAAAGATAATCAGTCAAAAGAACCCAGACTTCTTCTTTCTTTGTCAACTTTGGAAAAATCACCAGATCAGAAGCCTCAAAAAGGATGTGGTAATGCCTATGATGTGTTTGAATTCAGGGATTCAGAAGATGAAGAAATTACATTTGAAAAAGATATTCAGAACAGTTTCAAAGAGAGGATGATGGACACCAGTCGAACTGTGGCACATACTCATGAACATAAACAATCTGAAGCTGAAAAAGAAAGAAAACCAGAAGATCTCAACCACAAAACATCTCACCATGAAGAAAAAGACATGAGTGGTAAAGAGTACGTGACTGAACTTGCACAACATGGTAAGATCGCCATCACAATCCGTCTACATCAGAAAGATGGACATGATGGAAGTTCATCTAGTACTGCAGAAGTTGTCAAAACTTCTCAGGCCCTTTGTGCTGAAGATACAAAACCATTTCTTTCCCTTCCCACTGAAAAAATAAAAGATGAAGTACCACCAACACCACCAACAACTTCAGATGTATTTCTTACTGGGCCTTGTAAGAGTACACGAAAGGCAATTCAGCTTCAGTCACAGATTTCCAAAACCTCAGTGGATGAAATTATTGAGGAAGTTGTCAAGAGATATTTTATACATCCAGATCCCTCTGAAGGTAACATTGAAACTGCAGGAAGTAGTCAGAGAATAAGTCGTAGAACTCGGGCACACCGTCGCAGTGAAGAAATTATTACAAGGGTAGAAGATACACATCAGGAAATAGAGTCCCCTTTAACTAAACATGAGCCAATGTTTATTATTCCAGATAATGTTGTAAAGGATCCTCTTTCAGACCCACTTAAAGTATGTAATACACAAGCTGTAATTACTAGCACTGCAGATTCTTCAGGCAATAGTTCTGAACCTGAAACATCCAAGCCTGAAACCAGAATGCTTCTTCGATCATATCGAATCACAAGATCAACATCTAGACTAGAATCAAGTTGTGAAAGAAGTATCTCACCTCGTGGTTTATCTGATCAAATACAAGAGCCAATTGTTAGCCAAGCTGAAGCTAAATCACCTTCTATGTCCATATCAGCTAGTAATGACAGTGGACCTTCTGTGAATCCTCTTCCTGTCCTAAAGGTTGAACTTCCTCAGTTATCCTCCACTATTGCAACACAGGTTGTTACCACTTCTGTGGAAAACACTAAAGTAATAGAAAAAAAGACAGAAAGCTTACCTTCACTTTTGGAAAAAGATGATGATACGGACTCTCGTTCTAGTCCTATCGTGCTGATAGATCCAGTGACTGGATTTTTAACACCTGTTAATAAGAAAGGAGAACCCACTGGTGTCATACGAGAGACTTCTGAAGTATCTGATGGATCTACAACCTCATCTTTTACAGAACGCAGGCTTACTGGAAGCAAGTCCAGTGTAACTACAATTGTTACACACTCCAGTAACACTAGTACAAATTCAGGAGTACTCACTTTACTTGAGCATACTGGTGATACACCAGGAACCACTGGGACCTACCCTCAAGTTCTAAATCCTATTGTGATAGAACGTAAAATCAAGAAGCAAGAGAAATCTTCATCATCACAAATCACAGCAAGTAAAACTCAAGAAACGCAAGTGATAACCACAAATACCACTACAGAAAGTAGCTTACAGTCATTCAAACATGGATCAGTTAATATGAAACATAATTCAGTGATTTCACCAACAGTTACCTCTTCCATACCTGTTTCAGATTATACTGGAACTACAAGCCCAGTTACAATCACATCATCAATGTCTTGTTCAAATACGTCAAGAAAAGACCTTACTATTGGACAACCATTTGTTCCAATAGCTCAACCCATGCCTGGATTACCAAGCACTGCTTCCTCACCATATACATCATCTTTAGTGGTATCAGTACACCAAAGTCATAGATCACTCAAGTCTTCTGTAATGACTACCAGTAGTTCACAGGCATCTCTGCCTAACTATTCACCTGAAGTCAAGACAACAACACACAATATTGCAGATACTTCTGTTGGAAGAGCCCGTACTGTTCATGAAGTACCTTCTTTAAAAGCTGAGGTTTGTATATAGTTGGTGATTTATAGAAGTTTGTATAGATATAAAAATGAAAATATAATTAGCAAAAATGCATTTCACTTAGTAAAAAATTCTCTGTAATTAACTTCTGTGTATTTACTGGCATTGATGTAAAGAGAGTGGAAAATATAATGATCAAAGAAAATGAGAATTTGGGAAAATATAGATTAAGGATCAAAGAAAATCAAAATATGTCAAATGACATACCTTTTACTTACCAAAATATGATGAGAACAGTTTTCATAGTGTAAATTAATTTTTTTTTTTTTGAGCATTTTTTTTTTTTTTTGAGTGAACAAGTTATACAAAGTAAAAGCGAAGCTTTTAGAATGTACGTTATTTACATTCTAAGAAAGTAGCTTTTTGTAAGTGAAAATAATTGTATATGCATGTATAGTCATAAAATTCTATTTTCTTCCATCTCCCTTGTCTTAGCAAGTAAACTTAAATTTTCAGAGTGAATGCTACTTTCAACTGAATTTTATCTTTTAACTAAAAGTAAATCCACATAAAATAATACCTATGTTTACAAATAGTAGTTTCTAATGCTATTTCTTCTTCTTCTTGTAGGGGAATTCGACAATTGGGCATGTGGATGAAAATGTGGAATCTGTTAGAACTAGCACACAAGCAAAGACAACAATAACAACTCATCCTCCTCCATCATCAGAGCCTAAAAAATCAGAGACAAGTGTGCTAACCTGTTTTAGTAATATATCTGCTCCACCTAGCTCCAAACTTACTTACACTACTTCTGTGGAATTTACAAGAACTGTTCAAGAGACAGCTCCAAAAACCCTTGCTGTACAACCAAGGGTTTCAATGAAACAGGAAATGAAAGGTATGAGCCAGCCTCCTATCCCATCACCAAGCAGCATGGAACCAGCCACAACAGCAAGTACAGGAAAAAGTGGGCATCCTTATGCACCTAAACAGAGCCCATCTTACTATCATCAGCCTACCTTTCCAATGGGTCCTCATGAAACAACAGTGGTTAGTTTTAATCATTGACTTTTTTTTAGTACGTAGAGCTTTAGGTAATTTTTAAAATGTCCTTTTTTTGTCTTTCTTTTCTTATTATACATGCATGTTATGCTGAATGGAGTACATAGTTTTAGAATACAATATTTGATTTGTTTTCATGTCCACATGATTCTTACAATCTTTTACTAAGCTGCCATTTGAGTAATCATGGTTATGAAGTTTAACTCTTTTTTTAAATTTTTAGACTTATTTATTTAATTCATGAAATGTAAAGAGTTGTGCAACAAACATCAAGACCAAAAAATCATGTTTGACAGTATGAAAACTGATAACATTTGCAAACAAATACTGTATTATAAAATGATTTTTAAAATTCACTTGGTATTGAAGTCCTAAATTTATTGGTTTACTTGCTGAACAACAACAAAACAAATTGTAATCTGTACTGTCTGAAGGCCTGGCATGGCCAGGTGGCTAGGGAGCTTGACTCGCAATCTGTGGGTCATGGGTTTCGAATTCCTCGTCTCACCAAACATGCTCACTTTCAGCCATGGGGGCATTATAATATGACAGTCAATCCCACTATTCATTGGTAAAAGAGTAGCCCAAGAGTTTGCGGTGGGTGGTGATGACTAGCTGCCTTCCCTCTAGTCTTACACTGCTAAATTAGGGACGGCTAGTGCAGATAGCCCTCGTGTAGCTTTGCGCGAAATTCAAAAAACAAACAAACAGACAGTCTGCATCTACTTCAAATTATGTGAAATTTGGATCGGGTTGGTTAAATCCATTTGTTGTTGAGTAAAAAGACTAGAAGTTCCAAGTATACAGTCAAAAGTTTACAAAGTATTAACAAACATACTCCCAAACATATTAAAGATTATTTATCGATTTACAAATTAAATCACTTCAAACCTTTAGAATTTGGATTCGTGGCATATTACAGTGAAAGAACATGTCTTTTTTTCATACTGTCAAGACAGAATTGATATCAAGAGGAAGTGGAAGATTAATTAATTATCAATTTGATTAGTCTGTTACTGTTCTAAGTTTAGTGCAAACATTTAATTGAATTTACATCTTGATAATAGAGTTAGCACAAAGGATCACATATAAAGTGTAATAAACTTAAAAACTCAGGAGAACAAAGAATAGTCAACTATTTGAAAGTGCTCGAGTTTTGGGTCTTATGTTAAGTTTCATTGAACTTACATATATGCTGGAGATATATAGAACATGCACACCAAAAGTTAATGGGGAAAAGCTTGTTATTTATTTTGTCATTGAAAATTAATTTTCAATATTAATTTTAAGATTAAATGTCAATAATCAAATGTTATTGTATTATTATTTATTAACCAAATAATTTCTTTTTATGTTTACTATGCTTCTCGTTAGGAAGAAAACTTGTAATTTTCAGTATACCTATTAATCATTTTATGACATAGGATTTTTTCTCTTTATGATAGTTAATATGGTGAATATACAACTGATGAACTAATTAAATAATCATTTATCTTTTAATTCAGCATCCAGGTCCATCAGTGCTTGCCTCTACCTCTAGTGGAGGAGTGATTGCAGAACTATTACAGAATCCTCATTTACTACAACAACGGAAAGAGTACTTAGCAGCTCAGCATTGTGTTAGTGCTCCTGGTACTCAGATATCAGAAAGATTGACTAGTCAAGTTTGTCGTTCTTCAGGCCCTGGAGTTGGTCCTATACATGGAGACATTGCTGTTCGTCTGAGTAATCCAACCCCACCTCACACTCCGACTCCTCCAGTAACGTCATCATCACATTCCTTGCAAGCACAGGAACTGCATTCAGCACACTTGGCACAAGGATTACATCTTCGACACCCAAGCCAAGCTTCTCTAATAATGGCACCACCACCACCTTTAGGTATTCACCCCTCTGATATTCCTGCATATGTTCACATGTATGCAGCTGCCTCTCATCCTCATTATGCAGCCTTACACCCAGAGCTAAGGGCCCAACATGAGGCACAGGCCAGGGCTGCTGTTGCTATGGGCATGACCCAAAGATTTGGTTACCCACCAATTCCTACTGCAGCAGGCTTTAGACAACCGGTAGATCCCCTCATAGTGCACACTGCTCTATCAGAGGCCAAATCTGAAAACAAATCAAATCAGAGAACAGAAGAGAAGCCAATGTCTCATAAGACAACAAAAGTTAAACAAGAACTGAAGACACCTTGTACTGACCACAGATCTCATGAAGATCATGAGCAACATCAACCTCATAGTTCCGTGGAAAGTGCTAAACAGCATGTAATTACCCCTGGTCACCCTGTTGGGGCTGGAATTCAGCCATCTGGACACTGTTCACCTGCAGTTCATCAATTAAGTCCTCACATATCCATATCTCAACACGAACGAATAACTGATTCTCCTGCTGTAGCTAGTCCATATGCTTCTGGTCAGTTAAGACATCCACCTTCCCATCTCCCCGTATCAAGGGTGGAAGATTCCAAATCACTAGAGTGCACACCTAGATTATCACTTCCCAAGTCTGAAGCAGAAAGTGAAATGAAACCCCCTGCTGCTCACCAGAACCCTCCAACCACAATTCCCTATCATACCTTGGAAATGAGAGGGGCATCTGGGCGTTCAGGTCCTGCCATAGGTGCTCCTGCTCCTGGACATCTAGAAGGTCACCCAGTTCCTGACCGAGCTCATGCTGTCCTGTCCTTGAAGAGAGATGTACCTCCACATTCACGAGAACATCACATGGTACCTGGAGAGCCTCATCCTATTTCTGACACCCTCAAGAAATTGCCAACTCATTTAATACCATATGCTCACCAGAGTTTACCAGTTTCTTCAGGACTACATAACCTTAGTACCACCTCATCTCCACTACCAGTAACAAGTGTGAATCCAGTTTTAAGCCCGAAGGGTCCAGTTCCTTCTCTACGGCCTCCATCAGCTTCTTCTTCTGGTGGAGAGGTGATAAGTTCTAGGCGAGGCAGTGTCCACATGATACCCCAAACAGGGTCGGAAGCTCCACTTTCAACTCCTCCTCCTGCACATGCCATGTCTCAGCAAACAGGAGTACCTCGGGCACAACCACAGACCCCACCACATGACAGTCAAGTGCCTCCCCAGGGTGACTCCCTCCTCTTACAGGTATGTTGAAGAACCCAAGGAATTTGAAATTAAAATGGATATGTTTACTAAACCTTCAAAAACACTTAACTATAAATTATATTTCTGTGGAACTATTTTACAGGACTGAAATTATGATGATATACATGCATATTAATTGATGTAATATTTAACACTTTTGGAAGTCAATTGCTACTTCGTATATTGCATACTCTTTTCTTTAAATACTTTATGGGTATAATGTTATTAGAATGTTTCCATAAACACTGTTTTTTATTAAAAAAATGCATTTGCTGATGTTGGAACTGATAGTGGTTCCATAACAATTCTGATTGTACACATTATTAATGAGTATAAAAAAAAATATTGTTTAGCAGCTAATTCTTTTTAATATACTCATTGAAGCTTTTATAGGTTGTTCCTGAGTTATCTTTTAACTCCAGTGCCCAAATTCAGAACTACTAGCCTAACAGGACAGTTAGATTTATTTACTTTTGCTGTGCTATGTAGTTTTGAACTGAAATACCTTCTTTTTTTAAGTTTCAAAAGATGCCTATACAGGGTATCCTCTCTTATGGTTGCTTGATCTTTAGTTAAATGTTTTAATGTACAATTGTCAGATAAGATGTTATTTGTTTTAAAGTGTTATCATCTTTATTTAAAATAGTTATGCAATTTCTTATATCTTACAATGGTTGTCTCTCTTGATGTTTTTAAGCACTTTCCAATATTTCATGTTAAATTATATGGTAATCCAAATTACATAAATAATCTGTTAGTTGTATAAAATTATTTGGCAAACAAAATTTCAATCTGTTGCTAATGTTTGGTGCTCAACATTATTTAAAGTATTTAAAAATGAAAAAAAAAGGACCAATTATATTTATATGAGTTGATTTAACTTGCTTGACTTATAACTATGCCAGTTTTAGTTTCAATTATTTGTTGTACATTACTGAAATCAGTGCAGAAAGATTCTGAAATATCATTGTGTTGGGTAGACTTAAATCTTTAACTATGCTGTTTCACATAGTTGACTTAATCAGTTGGGAAAAGACTGTAATGAAGTGTTACATTAACAGTTATGATTTAAGTTACTTATTAAAGGTTTGTAATGCATCCTGCACTAGACCTTAAACGTTTTTAGATATTGTTTACTTCTCAAATAGTATAATGTACACGTTGTGGCATCTCTTGTGTATTCTACAAAGCTGCAGGTTTTATAAAATTCACAATACCTCTACAGAGATATCCAGTTATGTGGCAAGGATTGTTGGCTTTGAAAAATGATCAAGCTGCTGTACAGATGCACTTTGTCTCAGGAAATCCTCTCATTGCTCAAGCGTCTCTACCACCAATGACAGAAGGTGGTACTCCTCCAGTAAGAATAGCCCAAAGGATGAGATTGGAGCAAAACCAGTTGGAGGGAGTGGCCAGGAAAATGCAGGTGTGTATTAATTTTCATATAACAAATGATTGTGTTTATTTCATCTTAAGATAAACTTGTGCATTTACACAACTGAGATTTTAATAGTATATACATTTTATTACCAAACATCTACACTTGTTCAATAGAAGAAAAAAATCAGGGTTCAAATAATGGTTGGACAACAGTCAAAATCATAACACATTTTATTTGTGGTCTGACATATTTACATGAGCTTAGTCTAAAATATAGTTTTGGGACCCTAAAACAAAATTTTTAGCCACCAAATTAAATTCTTAGTCATAAATATTATTCACCAAACACTGGACTGAAAATTGAATTTGTAAGAAATAAAGAGCCAAATATGATGTGTGTTTGTATGCATGGCCATACCTTGGAAGTGTTATTGATATAATATATGCTCAGTTTGTTATTTTTAAATATACACAGTCTTTTGTCATTGCCTAAGCATACAGAGATTTTATACTAATCTAACAGTAGTTATTTTCATTGGGTTTGAACATAGGTTATTATCTTTAAATCAAGTAAGATCAGTTTACATCCTGTACATTAGACCTATCACAAGTTATTAACATATATATATTGGTACAGCTACTTACTTTACACAGCAGCAATCAGTGACTTGAAAAGTTTCACGTAGCATATTCACCAGTTTTGTTTAAATACATTTTTTCCTAATATGATTCCTTAATATACTGCTGAAATATGAAATCATCTGTTTGTACACTGGTCATTATAATGTATCAAAAATGGGCTTTGAATGACTACTTATGAAATCATAATGAGTGTGAAACAAAAAACTAGAGTCTCTCAAGCATTGTATTTCCTATTGTGTGCATTTTTGGTAAGGAGTATCAGGCAGGCAGTAGCACTGCCTATGTAGGGATGGCCTCCTCAATAGGTCTTCAGAACTTTACAATACTATACAGTGTTTCCTTTTATAACAATATCTATGTGATGACTGAGTCACAAGTTCTGAGAATGTCTGTAAATTTGGATTTCTTGTTGTTCTTTTTTTTCTTATACATTAACTCAAAACCAAAACAGTGGCATCAACCAATTTCACTGAGGTGGCATAGTTTCAAATGGGGTATCCCCTTTTATAAATATTATTAACTAGTAGTAATTAAAAAAAAATCATAATTCTAATGTAAACGATGTTATCATTACCCCTTGAAGTACAGGGTGAAATGGGAATGACCAGCTAATAATAGATAAACAATAAATATTACAGTTGGACCCTTATTGTATTTAAAACCTGGTTATAAATACAACCTTTCTATGTCTATTGGAATGCTGCAATAAAAAACTTTTCAAAAAAAGAAGTAAATGTAGGAATTGCTAATATCAATCTTTTACAAAGAATGCAAACAAGATAGTAATGGTGGCACTTGCATCATCCCTACATAATTAGCACAGGCACACAGTGTAGTAGAATGTTAACAGACAAAAGTAGGATAAATTAAACTCAATTGTGATTGAGTAGTTATATATATTGCTATATGTTAATTCTTGCCTGTGCCATCCTTATTATCATGCTTACATCTTTTGTGAAGGATTGGTATTAGCAATCCTTACATTTACTTCCTTTTTTGAAAAGTTTTTTCTTTACTTATACATGTAGAATTAATATCTGTTGACTGTTTGCTGAAACACTTCACAAGAAACTTTGTATTTAAACATTTTTAACTGTTCTGCAAGTTTTGATTTTAAAAATAGTATATCTAATGTATTTGGTGATGTTACTTACATGAAAGCAGATGTAGTATAAGCATTGCACAACCTTATAAATATCTACTGACACATTACATTGTATTGTTATCAGGTTAAAAACTTTCTACTTCATAAGTATTCATTACTGTAGCTTTTGACTGTTGAATTTTTTCCTCTTTTTTTTCTTTTAATGAGACCAGTGCCCATAAATGTTGACTACAAGTTTTTAAGTAAAATGTCTTTTCTGTACCAAAATAATTAGGATCTGTGTTCATGTTCCTTTCTCCCAGTTATCTGTTGATCAAAATAGCTACTTGTCTACTTTTTCCTTTTGGCAAATTTAACCACCTGGCAGTATTCTATGGAAAATTTAGTTTTGTATTAATTACAAAAATTCATTTCTTATTAAATAAAAGCTTCTGGAAAGTAAAAAAAACAAAAAAACTATCGTGGCTTTACTTTATAGAAGTTCTTAATTGGTTATAAACATTTTAGAACTGTAAATGAAGAAATGTGTACATTTTTAATGTACATATTGTTCAAACTGCAAAAGAAGTTTTAAATGTATCAGTAGATAATTTAGTTATATAACATTTTCTTTGTTCATATTCAGATGCTAGAAGAGCATTGCATTCTCCTGGCATTACCATGTGGACGTGATCACATGGATGTTCTTCAGCAGTCCAATAACCTTCGCAACGGTTTTATCAATTATTTGCAATTGAAGCAGGCTGCTGGTATTGTTAATGCAGCAGCCCCAGGCTCCCAGCAGGTAAATATAAGTTGCCTTTTCTTATTTTGTCCATTGCACCTGTAACATTTCATTTTTCTACTCTGTGTCCCTTTTATTCAAGGAGCAATATTAAATTGTGATCTTGACTCTTTTTTTTTTATTTTACTAATTAAATTTACAATTATATATTTTGAAAATTTTTCCTAAGTAATTTTTTTAAATGCATGTTTCATACAATAAATTCCAAATCACCAGATGGGGAATAAGATGATTATATGTATTAGTAACTTTTTTTTACATCATGCTTTGAATTATCATTGTAATTGATTAAAGATTCTTTTTCATATCAACATTATACTTGAGAAAGGGTTTTATTCTTTCCAATTTAGCCTGCCTACGTGATCCACATTTTCCCATCCTGTGACTTCTCCAATGAAAATATGGCACGAATTGCCCCAGACTTACTTCACAGTGTGAGTGACATTGCCCATCTTTTAATAATAATTGCCACTGTGTAATGGAAAAAAAAAAGGGGGAATATTATACAACTCGGACTGACTGACCTTTTAGTATCAACAATTTATGGTGGGTTTGTAATCCAAGACATCCCATCAAAGTGATACCTGTTATGGAAAGCATCATTGGCCTCGTACTGCTGTATTATTCAAAAATGAAAGCTTAACAACTTTTTTCAGCCAGTGTTATTGTATTTCCTAGCTGAATGTGACCTTCCGGAACTGTCCAGGACTCTGTACTAGAGGATTGTGTTAAATGTAATGTTGCTGTTATATTTAGCTGTATTTCTGAATGTAACTGATGTACCCATGTTGTTACAGCACAAATGTTATGTTTAAATTCTTTAAAAAATAATCTTTTTAGGATCTAGGAACACAAATACAAAAGAAAGTTATTTGGTAAGAATTGCAAAGTAAGCACCTGGGCATGTGTGATCTTTGTTTTATTTTGAAAGATAAGTTTGTGAACATGTTTTTGTTTATAGCTGCTCTCTGCAGAACTTTTAACTTCTATCAAATGGTAAGTTAAAGCTCCATTCTGTGAATATTTTGTGTTACACCAAATTGTAAGATTTTCTTAATCTCTTCTTTGCCTCTTTTTACTCTAAGCTTAAATGTTACAAGTTCCCAGAAGAAAAAAAAAAAAGTGACTGTTGTCAGTTGTATTATATTGAGATTGTACTGAAATAGTTGCAATCATAACAGGCCTAACAAACTAAAAAATGTTTTGTGTGTAAATGTAAAAACATTTGTCCTAAATGTGTTTCAGAAGAAAAATTTTGAAGTTATGGAATGTGGTTGCAAAATTTGAAGGATAATTGTATAGTGAGATATTGTACAGTGTAAATATAACAGATTAATGTAGTTAACAAAAAAAACAATACATTTTGTGTTTGAAAGCCATATTTCAGGGAAAGTCCAATTTTAGCATGTATTTTGCATTTAGTTAGGGCTAAATGTAGAAATGGATGATAATGCTAAGACACAGAATTGCATGGAACCCAGTGTCATGTATATTATGAACTCTTGTGTTGTTATGCTGTCTTCTGATTTCTTTGTAGTATAGAAAAGATCTGGGAGGAAGCTAGCTACAAAAAAAAAAAAAAGAAAAAAAGCAGATATAGTAAATATCCATTGCCATATTATATTGTGATCACCACATATGAAGATGAACGTTTAAGGTAAATTGGTTGGGATTACATTGAAAACCTACTTGTTATCATGCTGTTGTTTTTGTACAGCCAGTGGAAGGTTCTTTTGTGTATCTATTTATGTCACCACCTGAGGAACAGTATTTTTTTCTTAAATACCAATAGTTTCATCCAACGTGTACAGGCATTGTAGAAATAGTTTGTTTTTCTTCCCAGAATGTTAATATTATGGTGTAAAATGTTATTACTTTAGTTTGACGAGTAATTGGTATTGAAGTGACATCTGTATAATTTGTATATACATGTATTGTATTCGTACCTGTACATTAATTCACGATGTTGTCACACTTGTTATCACCAGGTCATTACTTTCAAAGTAAAAAAGCTTGTAAAGTTGTTGAAAAAAATGTCAGATACTTTCAAATTAATCTTTGTCTTTGTGCCTTTGATATCTCACTTGTTCACAAAAAAACACCCACTTAAAGTAGGAACACTGATGAATTGTGCCATAAGCTAAACTAGGATGAAAACAAACTACTTAGTATGGTAAAAAAAACCCGAAGTTTACTCATAAAGACTAAGAAATTGCTTAATTCTGTAATTTGTCTAAAATTAGTTTTGTTCACTTTTTACTAGCAATATATATACACACAAAGTACTTGTATGGAAAATCACTTTGGTTGATAGCCAAAAATATTTCTCAAATTATGCACTGGTAACACAAAATAGTTATATACTGTAGAGATGCAACACAATTTCAGAAAATAATAAATAAAAAGAGTAATTCTGGAGTTTCACATGCTCTAGTTTGTTTCCAAATTTGGCTACTCCCAATCTCCCTCTACAAACAGATTTTAATCCCCAAAATATTCATAAACATCTGAATTCAACATTAAATTATTACTTCAATCCTTGTTGCCTTTCTCAAAACTCTCTCCAACAACTTAATGATTTTTTAAGAAAATTGTACCAAAACAGCACAATGCTTCAAATGGAAACCTATACGTTTTGGACAAACAAATTTCAGCATCCTATGTCCTGAAAATATCCAGGACTTAGGAAACTCCTTTACATATGCACACATGAAAAAGTAATTAGCAATTTTATTTTTATAAGGGTTTAAATTTAACCATTTAGTCTGTCTCTAAATTTGATTTAAAATTTTTTTTTTCCAACAAACATTAAAATGAAAGAAAAAACCTCCACTACAATTGTTTCAAAGTAACATATAATTTTGTCATAAAAGGACATGTACAGGGTTGAAAGTACTGCAACTATCAGGAATACTTTATGTATACTATGTCATTTATTGTTACTTTCATTAACCACATGGATTATGCTAGTTAGCATATGAAATGTCATTACAAGCTGAGGTACTCGTCCTTTATACATGTTATGAACTTTTAAAAAAATGTGCAAGTTGATACTATGATAAATAACACAAAAATTCTAACTCATTCACACAATTTATTTATAACATAAAATATTGTTACATTATTCATTATTACCTCACCAAAAGTTTTGTATATTCTTAAAACATGGTATACACTTTGGGATGGTCAGGGTGACTTTGTAGGAAGAGGTAGCTGAAAAAGTAGTGGTGGTAGATGCTTTCAACACCCATATCTTAATGTCCTTCCAGTGTTTCACTTGATTATGTATTGACAAGCATTAGCTATAGAAGTGTCTTACAGGCCAAAGTAGGAAGTGAGTATAACAAAATGTTTCTTCGTATCAGCCTTATGGTGGCTGTGGGAGTTGAAACTTCAGCTGAATATACATAGTATTGAGATAGCAGCAGGCATTATTTTTTCATTGCATTCCTACATAGTGCTAGTGCACTCTCCGAGGTATAAAATACTTTTGTGTGCCCCCCCCCCCCCCATGTTATAGAAAATTTAATACAGTCTTCATGTTTTTGGTGTAAGGACATGGCACCATCTATGAATGTAGTTAATGTTAACTTTTGTCAAAAATAAATGCTCAATAACAGCAATAATGGGAGTGAAGGGGTTGTGACCCCCTTCACCCCCAAATTAACATGCCCCTTGTTACAAACTATCATCTCAAAGGTTTGGTTGAGAGATAGATCAAGGAAAAAAAGTTTTTTTGTGCTTTATATATATATATATATATTTATATTTAATGGTTCTAAAATTATGACCAAAAATATCAACAGTGAGGCTACCCAACTGATGAAACAATGTATTCTAATCTTTTGAAGTATAAACACAAGAAAAGTATACTTAATTAACTATACTGATGACTTGTGTTGAGTTTTATTCTAAATACATAGCTTACCCTGATTAGAAGTTATTATTAATTGGATTGATACAAAAACATATTTATGTTGTTCTAAAATGAACTTTACACAAAGCATTTTATTGTATATAAAAAATCTAACAGCAACAACATGGCAGTGTCTTGCTAAGCAACATCTGATATAATTAATGAATCAGTTCTTGTTTCTAGCTGTGTTTTACTGAATTCTCCAAACATATAATTTAAAAATGTCCCGTAAATGACATTTAAATTATTCATCAAGAAAATGCTGCCGAAAGAGTGAATTCAAAGTAACTTAGTTTCTGAGATGTTCAATATAACAGATGTATAAAAGAGTGGATTACATCATTACTACTTATGACTTAATGCAAAAATGTATAAGATTGTTCTTACAAGCTTAAACTAATCAGAACCAAATAAACTGCACTTCAAGTTTACACTGACATGTAAAACTAAATAGTAGTTTACCATATACAAACTAAAACTAAGGTATATTACAGCAATGATATATCAAATTCCAAATAATTACAGTATAACAAACACTAGAAAACATTCCTTTAAATAAAAAAAAAAAACAATACCACAGACACACACAAAGTAAAAACAGAAAATTAGTGTATTTATCATTAACAATCAAATTCCTATTTAAACTACATATACAACCTTACAGTTTATCAATTATAAATATACCAGATCTCAGACAACTGCTTGTGTGTGTGTGTGTGTGTGTGTGTGTGTGTGTGTGTGTGTGTGTGTAGTAAGTATTAACGTAAAGTGTAGTTCGTAGTACATAACGTACA